GCTGTTTTTTTTTTAATTTTTTAAAAAATTTTTAACCCCGCCCCCCTTAATTTTTTAAAAAAAAAAAAACACATTTTTTTTTTTTTTTTTTTTTTTTGTCTTTTTCTGTGTCCGGCAACGGATCGCAACCCTCAGTGTTGCCCCCGCACCGGACCGGGGACCGGCAACGGGACCGCAACCCTCGGCGTTGCTCCCGCGCCTCGCTCAGCCAGTGAGCGGGAACCGGTCTGTATGTGGGATCCGAACCCTCGGGCGGGAGCGCCGCCGCGCTTCCCAAGCGGTGCACTATCCAGTGCGCCACCGGGCCGGCCCTGCAAGACACATTCTTATAGAAAGGTGTTGACAATCTCCTGTCTTCTAACTAGACTGTAAGTACTTTTGAGGACAGAAGCTATAATTTATTTTGCCTTTCTTACAGAATTAAGCAGAGTGCTTTCACATAGTAGGTGCTTAATATATAGTTGTTGATTTGATAATTAAACTGGAAGAGGTAGCAAGTATGCACATTCTATTCTGTTCTCCCAGTCAGCTTTCTCAAGGCCTGTTTCATGTCCTTGTTCCTAAGGCTATAGATGAAAGGGTTTAGCATGGGGATCACCACGGTATAAATGACAGTGACCACACGGTCCTTTGTCACTGAGTAGGTGGATGAGGGGCGAATGTACACAGATATTATGGTCCCATAGAATAGCACCACAACCGTGAGGTGAGACCCACAGGTGGAGAAGACCTTGTACCTGCCTCCCCCTGAAGGGACCCTCAGAACGGCCCGGGTGATGTGGACGTAAGAGACAATAATGAAAATAAAGGGACTCATGATCACAAAGGAGCCCTCTGTGAAGGCCAAAAGCTCATTGACAGAGGTGTCGGAGCAGGAGAGCGTTAGCAGTGGCTGGACGTCACAGAAGAAGTGGTGGATGACGTTGGGCCCACAGAAGGAGAGGCGAGCCATGAGAATCGTGTGGGTGAGTGAGTGGAGGTGGGACACTGCCCAGGATGCCACCACCAGCAGGAGACAGTGCCGAGGGGCGAATGTACACTGAGATGGCAGTCCCGTAGTATAGTGCCACTACTGTGAGGTGGGATCCACAGGTGGAGAAGACCTTGTACCTGCCTCCCCCTGAAGGGACCCTCAGAACGGCCCGGGTGATGTGGACGTAAGAGACAATAATGAAAATAAAGGGACTCATGATCACAAAGGAGCCCTCTGTGAAGGCCAAAAGCTCATTGACAGAGGTGTCGGAGCAGGAGAGCGTTAGCAGTGGCTGGACGTCACAGAAGAAGTGGTGGATGACGTTGGGCCCACAGAAGGAGAGGCGAGCCATGAGAATCGTGTGGGTGAGTGAGTGGAGGTGGGACACTGCCCAGGATGCCACCACCAGCAGGAGACAGCGCCTGGGGCTCATGGCCGTGTTGTAACGCAGTGGGTTACAGATGGCCACGTAGCGGTCAATGGCCATGGCCGCCAGGAGGAAGCTGTCAGTGATCCCAAAGCCCACAAAGAAATACATGCACAGGCCACAAAGAAATACATCTGTGTGAGGCACTGGGCAAAGGCGACCTTCTTGCTCTTGCTCAACATGTTTGCCAACATCCGTGGCACAATGACATTTGTAAAGCAGATGTCCACCAGGGACAGGTTGGAGAGGAAGAAGTACATGGGTGTGTGGAGGTGGGCATCCCCCCGTATGGCTGCAATGATGACAGAGTTGCCAACCACATTGACCAGGTACATGGCCAGGAAGCTGGCAAAGAGCCACACCTGCTGTTTGGGGTCAGTGGTCAGGCCCAGAAGGAGGAATTCAGTGATGTGACTCTGGTTTTCCTTTGGCATTGCTGTGCTGCAGGCAGAAAATAGGAAGGAGTGTTAGGAGTGTGTCCTGGCTTGGAGATTCCAGTTGTTATAACTTCCTGTGAGTGGCAGGACAGTTAACAGGAGCATGGATTTTGATGTCCCACAGGTGTGGCTTTTCATTCTGGCCATCACTGATTTGCACTGTAAGCATGAAGTTTGCCTCCTATGTGTTCATTTCCTTCATCTGTAAAAACAGAAATCATGCAATCACCTCCTCAGACTCTTCTGTTTTGGCCAGGATTTCTCTTTTTGGCTTCCCAACTAGGGATATCAGGATATGTTAACTTCTCCCTGAAGAAAATGCATGTATATCCTAGAGATGATATTGTAAGCTCCAACTTCCTTGGGAAAAGTTTGTGGAATGGGTTTGGGAGGGTGAATGAGTAACAATCAAACCAGAGTTCATGGATCTGGAAAGTCTACAATCCCCTGGGATGTGATGTATGACATGGGGGCAGAACCACTTTCTGAGATTGTGGGGCATGGGGGCAGAACCACTTTCTGAGATTATGGGGCATGGGGGCAGAATCACTTTCTGAGATTGTGGGGCGTGGGGGCAGAACCACTTTCTGAGATTGTGGGTCGTGGGGGCAGAACCACTTTCTGAGATTGTGGGGCATGGGGGAAGAATCACTTTCTGAGATTGTGGGGCATGGGGGCAGAATCACTTTCTGGCAGATGGAAGGAATCCATCTGGTTTGGTTAAACCTTTCATTTCATGCAGGTAGGTGGTACTAAGACCATTACAACAGAAGTAATAGGTACAGGTCTTGATAGTAGATTAGGGTTGACTTGAGTCACAGTTGGTCATCTGAGCACAAGAACTATGTACAAGGTACACATATACTGGCAGATGACATTGAGAGGAGTGGATTGCAACGTGCTGGGCTTCAGGACCTGGATTGTTGTATAAAAATTAGGCTCACGGGCCGGCCCGGTGGCGCACTGGATAAGTGCGCTGCTTGCGAAGCGTGGCGGTGCTCCCGCCCGAGGGTTCGGATCCCACATACAGAGCGGTTCCCGCTCACTGGCTGAGCGAGGCGCGGGAGCAACCCCGAGGGTTGCAATCCCGTTGCCGGTCCCTGGTCCGGTGCGGGGGCAACACTGAGGTTTGCGATCCGTTGCCGGACACGGAAAAAGACAAAAAAAAAAAAAAAAAAAAAAAAAATAAGG